AGGACACTTCAACATGCAGCAGGAAGGGCCAGGGATTGAACCGCCAAACTTCTGATTAGTGCTCTACCTAACAGATACTAACAGGGTTTGAGCGTAGCTACTGCTAAACCACACCTATCATGTCAGAATCAGAAATACTTTATTAATCCCACGGGGAAATTATTTTCAGAAATACTATATAATAATCATGTCATGTTTAGGAATTACTATAAGATACTATTTATAAGGATTACCATCATCTCCTCCCCTGCCTACCTTCTGCAGAGCCTCCTCCTCCAGCTTCCTTTTCTTCTCCAGCTGTTTGTTACCAGCATTAGACTGCTCCTCCTGGGAGCGGTTGGTAGATGAGTGGGCCTTCTGGTACTCCTCTTTCCTCTGGGCTTTCAGCGCTCGCGCCTTACGCAATGTTGTATCTGCCTCTTGCTGCCGAAACCACAGAGATCAACCACACCAACAACCATGTGATTAAAATATATAGTATAGGTGCGCAACAGTTAACACAAATATATTTAGAAACGCCTTTGGGGTTGATTAGCCTTGCATGTGAAGTGACAGAATAAAATGTGTAAACAGCCAAGTCACTGAGAAATAGTGAAATGATTAATGCTACAAGCATTGCCTAGAGAGCAGAAAAAAATTTACTCATATATCAATGATGACGCAAATTTTAAATCTATTTTGTGCTTTTGCAGAATTGTATGCCACGACTTTAACTATACTGACATTTATATATCTGACATCTCCTGGCTGGTTGACAACATTGTAACATTTACTGTGAAATGCTGTTTTGTCTATAATGATCAAGCTAATAGTGTGTATCTAAACAGGGATTCATTACATACCATTTTCTTTTGCTCCCTCTGCCACTGCTCCTTGATGTCTTTCCTCAACTTGTCCAGTTCATTCTTCCGGGCCAGAAGAGGCTGAGAAAAATCAACAATTACAATGAGATTCACAATTTCTGAATACGTTTATTTTCAAACGCTTTGCACTGAAGATAGGACATAAGGATGGTAACTAGGGGATTACAGGAAGGCTTTCTAATTTAAATTGCCAGAAGTCAGTGTGACATTTTTACCAGAAATGACAAGTCCCAAAAGGGCCTGAGAATAGTCTGATAACAAGAAAGACACTTGAATGTTCCAAATCATCCTGGTAAAAAATGTCCTCGTGCTTTAATAGTGCTAAACTTTGCACAGTCATCATGCCTGTCTTAATTCACAATAAGCCTTTTTAAATCTTTTATATTGTGCACTCTTTTTGTGCCTCATTGTCAAGGCAAAAAAGGATGGCTCTGCTCCATGAGACATTGCTATTGAAATGCTGAAAATAATCAAACTATAGAAGTTTTGAGGTACAAGTTTAATGAGGCAACAAAGAGCTTCTTCACAGACTTCTTCATAGACTTCTTCATGCCACATACCTGTATGAATTTATTCGACTGAAGAGCCATTGCCGTTTGAATAAGCAGCTGTTTGTATTCAATGTCGTTCTTGAATGTGGAAACGTAGATATCACTGAATGGCATGTAGTCCTTGGAGAAATTAAAGAAATTAACATTTGAATAATAATTTCATACAGATATGTATTTGAATAAAGAAATGAGCTAAAAATGCTATCATAATTACAATATTCATATTAAAAGGTTCCTTTGTTACCTGTTGACTCGCCAGTGCCTTTGCAGACTCAGCCATTTTTGAATAATTTTTAGCATACTCAATATCTGAAAGAAAAATTGTTGTACAAAAGGATAAGGAACTGTTTGTCTGTAATTATTGTACACTAACAATGAACTAGAGGTAAATGGTTTCTTCTCAGACTGCAAAAAAATACAGATTCTCAATAAATACATATCAGCAGGACCTATAAAGATCCTAATTCAGCTGTAGGCCTTTACAGGTATGTTAAGCTAAATAGTTAGCTTTTTCCTATAGTCAGCAGAAGCATACAATAAGCATACATATACTCTATCATAGTGTATATGCATATATAGTAGAAGCATAGCATACATAATTTGAAATTCCAGATGTCTTACAATGGTTGATTAACTTTCTGTAATTATTCTGATATTCCTGAGCATATCTGATATATGATAAAAAAATATCTCTGCGCTTTGATGAAGTTGGTCTTTGTATATGAAGGAATGAAGCCCTTATTCTTGACTGAGCTCAGATGCCTTCCTGAAGGCCATATTGCCACGACTAAATGGCTGTAAAGTGCCCACAAGCTGTTCTGCCTCTCCTGAATGAACAATCACAAGGCTTATAATGACTCAGGGCTCTATTTAAAAAAAACATTGCTTCAGATTTTGAGATAACTCTGTTTTGTTTCAACTGCACTGCAACAGAAGATGGAACCCAGTGCAATGTCAATAGTATCAGTGTCTCACCCATAGCCAGTCGTTTCTCCATCCAGGCCAAAAGGTCTTTGATATACTTGGACCAGGCCTTGGCGTAGAGTAAAGCGGACTCCACCCCACTGTCATTCTTCAGCAGGGTCAAGTCGACTTCTTCTTCCCGTGACAACGGCACCTCTGGGCCTGGAGAGTCAGCAGAGGAGACACACATATCAAAACAAAGTGAATCAAAACACATGGTATCAACAATAGTGTGGGATTGATGCGTCTCAGATCCACTATCCCAACAGACACGTGTGGGAGGTAAATGAAAAAACACATTAAGGTTAAAGTTGACAGCGTAGGAGGATATGAAAGTGCCGGGCATCTGTTAAAATAGTCCAACAGTATTATTTTCTTTTTACTGGTTACACTATGATGCACCTCTCCCAGCTGCCCGCCATCTGATTTAACAAAACCCCATGTGTTTCCCATCCCACACGGAACTACTCCTAAACAGGCAAGGAATGTCAGATATGTGGACGGAGAGGGGAAAACGAGCAGCTAGTATGAAAAAAGCAGCAGAAATAACAGTGGTGGAAGCAGAGGTTTAAGGCGGGTCTACCTCAGGCATTCAAGAGTCCAAAGCCTAAATCACTCAACTAACTCACAAGCTGACACTCTGGGGTGCCCTGGGCTACAAAGCAACCATTAAATGCTTTCCAAAGCAGTTAGCAGTTAGCAGCTATTAAATTTCAGTATTAATTTATTTTTCACCCACATTGCTCAGAGGTGAATGACGGAATGTGAATAACACTTACCCGCAAGGTCATTTTTCTCTGAAACATATCCCTCAGGATCCACAGAGAGATTGTCAAAAGACTGTGAAGAAGACATGTGAGATTATAAAGAAGGAATAGCAGTCATACAATCAAAGTTAGACATCAGAAGCAGCTGGGTTTTCAACACCCCAATTAAGTACAGAAAGCAAGTCTTTGAGGCTTTTTTAAATGGAGGCGTGGTAAAATTGCTACCCTTTTAAAAACTGTCATGTTTGAAAACAAAGCTTTGAAAAAAGAAAAAAGAAACTGAAAAAAGAAAGAGTGTGTCTTACCCTGCTTCTCCTGGTCTGGGGGATCCCCAACCCTGAGCCACTGTCCACATCTCCCATAAGGAAGTCAGAAACTCTGGGTAGATTTATGTCAAAAGCAGTTTGTTATGGTCAAATTTCATTCAAATTGATCTAATCTATTAAGTGATAAAGAGCTTTGAGAAATGCAACTCTGAAGTATATTATTCATTAAACACTGACAAAAAACAAAAAGTAGATTCAAAACACAGATAAACATAGGACAGAAACATTTATTAAAACATTAAAGGTTGTCAGTCACTCTTTTCTTGGCTGTTACACAAAAAAGTAATACAAATCTAGTGGTGTTGAAAAGTTATACAAACATTGTACTCACACATTGCCGAATGTGAATGCCAAAGTGTCAATGGATGTGTGTATCTCGCCAAATATAGCTTTTGTGTTTTCTGGGTTCACTTCCTTGAAGTTAACGCCTGTGAAGAGTGATAAAATACAAGAACTTAAGCCAAAATAAAATTGTATTACAAACCAGCTTGTGTATACTCAATCCTTCAACAAATGCATTTGTATCACAAAAGGCGTGTGTGTGGCTGGGAGAGGAGGTGCTAACCACTGATATGATAAACATATGGATGATAGATCACATAAATGAAGTGGAACAAAAACATTTTAAAACCCACAGCTATGTATTAACAGCATATTATACGCATGCAATTTGCCTCAGGGCATTGTTTTTTTGTCTTCTTTCTGCAATCATAAGTAATAGAGACCATAGATAGATTGGCTTTTGTAGGGAGTGGTTTATCCACTCTACAAGGTTTTTTCAAGTAAGCGTTGACATTCTCCTTGATGACAGACAAAAAGTCAACCAAGAGTGGTTACACAGGATCAAAAAAACTGAAGAGTATGCAAACAGTTTAAAAACCACAACCGTTAGAGCAGAAGCAGTCTGAAGCAATGACATGTACAGTCCATGTCTTCCGACCAATCACAAATGTTTTCTTCAAAGAGCTTCAAGGATCTTCAAGGAGTATTCAGAAACAATCCCAAATGTTCCCTCTTTTCTTCCAATGTGTTATAATCCCATAGGCCATCTTCCATGTTGATCATGTGCAGAAAAGGCAATCAATCATACACACTACTGACTTTGAGATCTATTGACAGCAAGACGTCCACTGATCTTAGAACCGTACGGCCATTCAAGCTTGACAAACCTTCGAGAACGTGTGCAAAGATGTTTCCTTGTCAGGAAACGGTTTACTCAGCAAGACGATATTTGCAGAAAGCAATCACAAGAACCAAAGACACAGGCAGTGAAATCCGACTAAGCTGAGTACTTCCTGTCTGCCCGCAACAGGAAACACTCACACAGCTTGAGTTCTGTGACATGTAACACTATAGACAACCGTGACAACACTTACCTTTTCTCTATGCCACCTGGCATCGCTGTCTAGTAACTGCGACCAAAAAAACCTAAACAATCAGTTGCTGGGTAAAAAAAATCTCTGAACAGTTCCAGTTTCCAGACTGCTTTCTAGCTTTTGTGCTTCCATTTTCTCTTCGTGAAGGCAAACTCGATCCATGTCAGTGGCGGTTGGATAATTGTTAATTCCCAACCTACGATGAAGCACAGACGGGTCATGGCATTATGGGCTGGGGAGATAACCCCACGCTCCAGGGAGACTCTTTAGGACACCAAAAGAGAGGAGACGCAGTGGTGCAAGCCTCCCTGCCGTGCACCTCCCTGGCCCTGAATGCTAGAGTACAACTCTGCGCTGACTTCTTCCTCAGGACATCCTGTGGGTCTCATAACAATGATTCCAGAGCTCTGCCCCCCTTGTCACGATTGAAATATGGAAACTGCATCATTCAAGTACAGGGGCCATTGTTTTCTCACGGTTGAGCCGTAACTGAGACAATTAGCCCCTGAAAAATGTCTTGAGTGAGTTAAAGCATGTCTGATACTTTTGGCATAACTTGATTTCTCTGATGTGACAGGTCATTCCAAAAGTTAACTTAAGTACAACAGCTTTATTAGTAGAGCAAACTAAAAAACAGTTGCATTTAAACGGAGAAAAGAGTGTCCATTATCACCAAACAACATTAAAGAAATCTACAATAGGTTAATCTGCATATGGACAGAAAAATGTCTTTAACATACACACAAGATGGACTGCAGTAAACAAATACACTCTGGCAGCTGCCAGCATCTTCCCTAGACAAAGGGAGACAGAGCAGGGAAAGAATTTCAATAAGTTGTGGAAGTTGACACTTTTATTGCTGTGCCCTGCAGTTTTTCAGTAGGAGGGGAAAATGTGACCAGAAAAAGAAAACCCTGTCTGGGTCTGTTGTGACCAAGCGAGAGTCTGTGAAAAGATCATATCTTCGATGACACACAAACAGAAAAGAAGTATGGACAATACAACAATAGTTGACTCGCATGAAACCCTTTGCATTATACAGCTGAGTGGAGCTGAACATATATATTAACATTTTTAGGTTTGTTGGAATCTGCCTACAGTGTCAGATGAAAACAATAGTAGGAGAACAGTTTGGGTAGATAGCCTCTACGTGTAAGTGGCGTTTAAAACTGGTTAGACAACCGTGTGTTTGGAAAGGGAGGGAGGAAGGGGTTTTTTTCCACTAAATTCTGGCGGCTGTCCAAATGCCTCAGGTGTCATGACCAAGCATCAAAGAACACCATGAGTGAAGACATGACACACTCTGAAGACACAGAGGCGCACCAGGCCTGTTATCATCCAAACCTTTGAGTCCTCATCTCTGACGCCTCACTGATTCATTCCTCTTTCAGCCTCTCCTTTGCAGTCCTCCTCTGGCTCGCTGACTATGTTAGTATTGTGTTACCTACTGGCCATTAGGGACAGTCCAACCAGGGTGTGTGATTATGTAAGGCACCCCCTTGTGGACAGGCAAATTTCCAAGACTCTACTTTTCAACCAGATATTCATATTATTGTATTTACTGCAGGACTAAATGACAGGGCTTTCCTTATAAAATATGAACAATGGCACTGCCATACTGTAAACTAGCAACATCATTCTGTCGCTGTTTACGCATAATTTTGTGCAATTCTTGCATACACTATAATAGATATCTTGGTAATACTTATTTTCTTCTTTTTCAATTTTTATTACCAAAATACTTCATAATTTAGGAGTTTTGTGAAACCCATTTAGTTTATCATATGTGTTTCACTGGGTTCCACAGAAACTGTGGTCTTCAATCATGCTATATAAATGTGTATAAATGAATAAATGACAAACAGTTATTAGTCAGTCAGTTGTTAGTCATCCATCACTGAAGTTACAGTCTGTCCTGTCATTAAAGTCTCAACTATGCCAATAATTCCTTTGGCTGATCTAATACCAGATATCTGTTGTTTCCTTTTGCATTCTAAACCTCCACAAAGCAACACTGAACTACAGATGCAGACAAGCATTCTTAAGGAGGAGGTCACAACACAGATAATGAGATAAGGCAGGTGAGCTGTCAGACACAACCACACAATTCCCGACATGGAGAAAAGAATGAAGAAACGTGGATGTGCCTGACTGACAAGCAGTCTGCCAAGTGGCCTCTGTAGTTGCTGAAATATGGAATGCAAATTACAGCCACGTAGTCTATGCTGTACTGATTCTTGTGTGCAAGTCAAGTGAAGAAATATCCTTGCAGCGGATCACATTTCCAGCAGATTGAACTCATGAGTTGAGATTCCTTTTGTTTGTATTCATTAGGGAGACAGAAAATGGACCTGCTGCTAAAGGAATAATAACTTCTCATACTGTGACCTTTTAAAAACAAATCTCCAAGCCAACTCTAACCAAGCAGAGAGATATAAAATATTCCTGCAGGGTATTTCCCACACTAGTGAAAGAAAGACTGACGTAGACCTGACCTTAGCCTGAACCAAAATGCAACAACGAGATGTCATTCCAAGATATTTGAGCATCATCTAGGCACCTGTCTGTCTCGACTTGTATGTCTGTGTGCGGCCATGCATGCTAGTGAGCAATTACTCACCTTTGACCTTGGCAATGACTGTTCCAGCCGCTCCCAGGATGTCCACTGAATTGAGGGTCTGGTGTTTGCCAATAACAGCCTTGAGGACGCGGAGTAACTCTGCCAAACGTTCCTGCACCACCACCTGAAGATCTTCCAGATTGTCTGAAAAAAGGAACACAAGTCACAAGTACGTCAGCCAGGTGAAGTCATGCAAGTATTGAGAACCAGACAAGACTAACAAAAGCGTCATTAAATGCAAACCCCCACCACCATGCAGTTTGCAATCACACATTTTCATCTATTAAGTCACCACATTTTGAATTACAGGTGAACCAGTGACAAATGAATTCTTGGCATTCCTTTTGCCTTTGCCATACACATAACTTTGCAAATACAAAATTTTAAACTATGACACTTTGCTGTCATCTTTTGTCTAATCCACAAACTTCCCCTCAGGGCAAATAATACAGTACATGTTCTGTCATGTTTTTATGTATGCACAAACAACAGTTGAAAAGTGGAAGATGGTTGTGGCTGAGTGACGGTGACTAGCTCAGTTGTTGCAGCATAAAAGTTGTGTGATGAAACGTCTTTTCTGCTTCCTCTGGGCAGAGTGTGACACCATGCACACCGGAAGAGGCTTGTATGTAAACAGGTTACACTGTCTCAGTCACAGTTATAACATTCCCAGACAGGTGAATATGTTAAATACAGAAATGGTGACGTGCTTTTTGTACTTTTGTGGTCACAAGTGAGGCAGTCCCCTACACATAGTTTAGAGAAACGTCCCAGTCAACATAAAACCCACAGAGCCCCTGTGTCCGCTGACATCTTTGAGTCCTGGTAGAGTTAAGAGAGACAGCTAAATGTCTTTTCTTTTCTTTTCTTGACTTACTGCTTAAGCGCGGAATAAAAACAACTATGGTGCAGAGTCTAAGTATGATACAATTTGTAAAATGAATGGACAATAAAAGGGCACTCATACTAACTAAGGATGAAGAAATTAAATATCAGATGTGACTGAAGTGGCACACATGGTAGCCATTATGCAAGCAAACCCTTTCTGCAGCAATCAGCAGACAGTGTGAACGGCAAAAAAAGGGGAGGAAGATCTTGCATTTTTCAGTCCTACCAGTGAGGTTTCAGAAGATGACACTTTCTGACCACGAATGAACATTCTTCACAACTGCATAGGTCCTCTATATTAATTGTTCTACAGCTTTCCTATAACGCTTGTCAAAGCTGTGTGTTCTACTGACAATTAAGCTCTTAAAAAAAATAATAAACTCGACACACAATGAATCTTGTTCAAAGAACGGGAGAGGAAGACCTGTCTCCCGCTCTGATGCCAGCTAATCAGCGGCGGCTCTGTAAGTTGGCACCCGACAATAGGTGAGTTCATGTCTAACTCACTGTTTTGGAAGAAGCAGGAACACCGGCTGGAAACAGAAAAGTCATCTGCTTTTCATCAAGGCCACCCCAACAGACAGTAGGGTGAGATGAGAGACTATGTTTTATTGGAACGTAAAAAGGAATTACAGAGGGTGAGAAAATGAGAGCCTGTGTGTGTTACCAACTTGACTCTTATTCAAACACACACACACACTAATTCAATTGGCTGGTGTAAAACATGGTAGAAGAGACATAATCCGCAAATGAGACATAAGCCCTGGCCATCTGTGACACTCTTTCACAAGAACGGGAGAGGTAGACATTAATATAGACACTAGACAATAAAGGATTTTTACAATGAATCACTCGGGGACATAATAAAAGAGGAAGACTTTAAGACACTCTCCAAATGCGCAAAAATGAAAAAGGACACAAGTGCAACATCAGGGTCCATCTTGCGTCAGAAGCTTCCAATCCCTGCGTCTCTAGCTTCCACCCCCCCAGGATTAAAGGAAAAGGTGTCCTGTAGGGGAGGGGTACTAAACTGCTCACCTGCCCCAAGGCGAGAGGTGCCTGACCCTGCAACACACACTTTAAAAAAGGTCCCCCTCCCTGCTGACACTGACAATAGGCCTTCATTAAGCACCCCCCCCTTTCAGCTGCGGTCATGGGGGTATTTCTGGTTCTCTCAGTGGTGTTTCAAGATTTTCCTATCAAAGACATGTGTGGTTTGGCCACTAGCATACGGGAGCCGGTCGTAATGAGGTGCACACCTGAGAATTTTCACTTAGCATGACAGTGGAGCATGACTGAAGGTGCTCTATGGAATCACAGCAGTAATGTTGGTTAGGATCACCCAATTCCCTTTCCTCTGAAAAGAAAACAATTTAATTAGACTCATCTGTTCTTCAGGGAAGTGAAATGGCTACAAATTGTGAGGAAATAACAATGGCTGTCATGTTGTGGGAACAAAGACAGAGGGACGTCCTGAGCCAATCTGCTGGTTTGAAACTGAAGCCAGTCAGGGCATTTTTGAATGGACTGGTATTGGCTGTATCCTTTACCGTCACCCACTGCCAGCTGTCAGAGATGATCCACTGCGCAGAGTTTAAACACTGTAATGGAGTGGCACAAACAAATAAATACCAGCCAACAATTAATGTTACACTGACAGTGAGCTTCAGCAAACAAGACCATGTCCATACTAATGAGAGCAGAGCTGCTTTGGGGGTTGAAAAACACTACCTATCATACATTGACTATAGCGACATTTTACACTAGGCTAATGTAGGCCTACTTTGCCTTGTCTCATTTGTTGCTGTTTTATATGAAGGACAATATGAGTGAATCATGACAAAAATCAGTTGGTAGTGAATTTGAATCAAGGACTCAGATTGAGGTCTAAGGCAAAAAAAAAAATGTATGCCAAAAAGCAAGTATCCCAACGGTTTTTATTCAAAGATAACAAACCCGTATTTTATGGGGGTTAAAATGTAGATGAACTTTTTGTCAGTGTGCACATGGCTTAACCTTCACATTGTGCATGTGTATGTCAGCACAGTCTGTGTGCAATTACGCTCCTTAGATCATTGTTAATTCTTCACCCTAAAAACCAGATTAAAAAATTCAAACAAAAGAATTCTACTTAACAATCAGAAGTGGGAATAAAGTTATCAAAACAAGGTCAAATTTTGTGTGACAGCTCATACTGATCACCACCATTGTTGCCCTTTGAATTGTGTGAGAGGATCTGTGCTCACTGCAGCGTGCGACAGCTAAGAGAAAGCTGGTAAAAATCATTGGTGAGTGGTTTTGTCACAACAATGGCATCAAAAAGCGCAGTGGAAATTTGCAGCCGATTGTTGGGGGCCATGCCATTGTTTTGGTAGAGATAACAGCGCCGAGGCACAGCGCTTGGCCATATTGTTTAAAGGAGGACCCCCTGCAAACGCCAACGCAGCTCAAGGCCACAGTGTCTTTCTTTACAGTGGTGCGATGAGCTGGTGTCCCAGCCACGCTTCACGCTCGGTCTGCTTCGTTTATTTTCTACAAGCTCAAGACCTCCCTCCCTTTTTAGGGAAATAAATTCACAAGGAAAAATAGTTAAAGTAGTAGGAAACCCAGAGACTGCTACCTAACAATATACAAACAAAATCACTAACATGATCTATATACCTCTATAATAGAGAATAATACGACCAAGACATTAAGGTTGGAATACCCCTGCCTCTGGGATGCTTCCCTTCACAACAAGATGTAACAATCATTTATCCTACTGCTGCTCAGTATATAAACAGATTATATAAAAAGCGTATCTGCATGTGTCCCCAAAAATTTAAATTTTAAGCCTAACCATAAAATTAAAAGGTAACTAGTAACTTATGTAGAATGTACTTATGTAGAATTTAAGTTGAATGTAACATGTTGGCAGGCAGGTTGTGGGTTGCAACAAATTTCACTAGTGACCCCTTTATACAGGAAAAGAAAGGACATAAGCTACAACAGAAACTTCTCAAACCACTCATCCAGAATAATCTTCTCCTCGGCTATTAATCTTTATCCTGAATCCCTCATTCCTCTGCCAAAATATTGTTAAATACTCAACACATATTGTGTTTGGAGTATCACTTTTACGTAGGTTTAAGTGGTGACTCAACTTTAGCACAATACAGCAGCTCAAACATTTGCCTTTTAAATGAATGCCTCCCCTTACATTGTTGTGTGTGTGGGTCCCATTGTGCCTAACAGAGCTCTTTGTGTGTGTGGTGCAGAGAATGACCGATCTAATCCAGATCTTCAGGTGGCCTGACAGAGGTTACAGCCTCCACTTCCCCCACTGATAACAACAGCAATCAGCCGGCCTGTCCGGACACGCGATCTGCTCGACATGAAACAAGCCTCGGCAGCACTGGTGACACAGTGCTGCTTGGGAAACAGCCGCAGGGCTTTACTGAAAGGCCAGGGAGGCCGTGTTTCTCCATCAGCATCCCTCCTCCTCCTGTTTTCTGAAAGGAGGGAGGGAGGGTGACGGATTTACACCCGCAGCAGCAGATGATTTTCAGGTTCTCTTTTAGATGTCTATCCTTATCCCTCATTCCACGATGGTGACAAATTGTTCTCCGTGATGAGTCAATCACCCCAAATGCTCCCCTCCGAATGGGAACAGAAACTTTTTGTCCTTCGCACAGAGAAACTTGGACTAATAAGTTACACTCAGAATGTGCACAAATCTCTCGAATCACAAACCCAGAAAACATGAAATGCTTCCAGTATCACACTCCGCTCGCATCGCTGAGCTGCCTGCAATCTGATCTGCGACAGGTGGGATTGTTTGGTCAGGATCTCATCTCCAAACACTAATTTACCCCCCTGTCCAAACAAACGCAGCATTGCTGGGTGCCTCTCTGTCTTTCCAATGCCTTGTTTGGAGACAGAGTGGGCCCCAGACATCACACAGACAGTAAACAGCAGGCACTCCATAAACAGCTACCTGCTCTATTAGTGAAATACACTCTGTGAGGTCTAGGCTTCACAGTCAGGCTAATTCTTTGACACTTCAGTACATGTTTGGGGGATTATACAGCAGGTGCACAACGAGGCCGCATTCTTAAACCAACACACAACGTATCAGGTACACATGCGGGTGAGTCAAACCAGAGAAGGAAAACAGGGAAAAAAAAATCAATCCCTCTTAAAGATTCCAGTGCATACAATTCCATCTGACACCATTAAGAAACTCTAATCTACTTTGTTTTTCTCGTTTTAGTTTT